GTAGATAGTTACATTTCAAAATGAAGGAAAGACCACCAATTTTATCAAAAATATGGTTGTGAATAAAATACCAAATGGACTTAGGGTTAGCTAGACATCTTTTAAGCCAATTAATTAAAAAAGCACCATCTGCTCTACTATTGGAGAGCGCTTCCTTTTTTAATTTATGTGATTTATTTTTCCAAATAAAATGTAAAAAAATATTATGAATTTATTTTGCAACTTTATTCTCAACAAATAAATTATTTGGTGAAGGTGATATACTCGATAATGCCAGATTGCACGTCATTACAACAACATTTACCATATTATCATAGATATACTGTATATCACACACCCCAGACTCGACTTGAGTGGAAAATGAAATTATCCGCGGTTGTGCGCGGCGCGCACTTGTTTGCACATGAGCAAAGGTGTTTTTAGGAGTCTAACTTACAAGTGCCAGACCACTGATTCGTCAAACCTGCTTGCTTGCAGTCTGTGTTATTCCAACTTTATTTTGTAGTAAGTAACGAATATGCTTCGGAGAAATGTATTGGAGTGAAAGTATACATTTTAATTAGGAAATGTAGTGGAGTAAAAGTGAACGTTGACAGAAATAAAAAAACTCAAGTAAAGTACAGATACTCCTAAAAAATACTTAAGTACTGTAACAAAGTATTATTACTTCGTTACATTACACCACTGGTAGCCACGGTGTAAGGTGGCAAGTAAATAAGTGTACAATTGCACTGTCTGCTTATGTGCATCAATCGGAGTGTAAAACAGTGAGATGTTGAGGCAGGTGAAAAGCGTTTGGTTAATGGGGAATATTGACCTATTGTGCGTCTTGTTGCCGAACCCCGCCTTGATATAATGATTGACAGGTTGGGGGCGTGATCAGCTCGTTATGCATTTTCAAATCCACATTGACAAACTACATTATGGTGGGGTATTTAATGAAAATGCAATTGAAATGTCTGAAGTGTACGTGTCAATGCATTTAAGAAAACTAAAAGACATTTAAATCACCATTTTTGCAACCATTTTGCTGCACATTTGGCTCAGAATGCATTTTGAAATTCACACTGCATTTTGCTACAATTATCACGCAGTATCACGATGAAAATGCAGTCTCAAGAGTCCTACCCGTAAGTCTAAACGCATTTAGGAAAAATGGCATTTAAATTATAATTTTGCTACAGTTTTTGCTTGGACCGTAAGTCTAAATGCATTTAGGAAAAATGGCATTTAAATGATCATTTTGCTACAGTTTTGGCTTGGAAATGTTAAACATATCTAATCAATTTGGGAAATACAATTTCATTTTTTATTTTGCAACATAAATATATAACATATAACTTATAACTTATGAAATATAAATTCATTATATTTCAAAATGAATTTTGCTACCCATATGCTTCCAAACGGCCCATAAATGCAGTGATTTCAATATGTGTGAGTAAGATCGTGTTTTTAGAGAGAGGTAAACTGGCAAGACAGAAAATGCAAATTTTAAGTCACGAAACGCTGCAGTATAATGAGCAATAATACTAGAGGAAGGAGTGTGAATGTGTGGTTTCATAAAAACAGCCCCTGTCGCTCAACACAGTATGGGTAATATTGCAAAAACAAGACAAATACTCCAACATGGTCTCAAGTCCATGGAACATTCTGCAATACCAGTACCCATCACTCTGCAGGAGTGGTCATTTTCTGATTAATTTCACACATTACATTTATACTTTTGCAATAACTGAGCTGCTGGACAGTAAAAACGTCCACCAGAGATGCTTTGCATGTTTTTCACTTCCTCCACACAAACACACACACATCAGATCATTAACAGATGCTGACGGATGGATTTCAATGCCAGAGAAAGACAACAGGAAACAATGAAACATCACAACATCCCTGATGTTATAATCCTGGATCAGTTTCTGCCAAGCTGTCCACACCATCCTAACAAACACAAACACAAACACAAAATCCTCCATGACTCAAGGTTAAAACCAGCAGAACACACAGAGTCTGCAACCTAAAAGTAAGAACAGACTCAACACTGTCATTCATCACTGCTGCCACTGTGTGTTCTCTTCACACATGCTGTTCTCAGAGCATGTCTGTTTCTTTCTGACAGTGAAATGAGAGAGATAAGTGCAATAACAGACGCTATCTGGCTATAAAGTGTGTATTTCTCCATTGACAGTTATTCAAAGTTAGAAGTACATTCACTTTTTGGACTTTTTGGTTTTGTTTTTAAAAGCAACATACATTACCGTGCAAAAATTAGGGGTCAGTAATATTTTGTTTTAATAGATAGCTTTGCTATCACAGGAAAAAAAAAATACATTTTAAAATATATTAAAAACACAAAGGAGTTATTTTAAGTTGTAATAATATTTTGTAATATTACAAATAAATGCAGCCTTGGTGAGCATAAAGCACAGCTTTAAAAAACCAAATCATACTGACCCCAAACTTCTAATATTTCATTATAGTGTAGTAAATCCTTCATACATTCTATACAGAAAAATATTAGGTTAGTACTGCCAATGCTTGAATATTTACTAATATCTAAATATTTGCTAAGTAACACTTTACAATAAGGTCTCATTTGTTATCTTGTTTGTTAGATAACATGAACTAACAATGATCAATGCATTTTTTACAGCATTTATTCATCTGCTAACCATTTTTCCTTCTTTATTATATTAGTTACAGTACATTAACTGGCATTTAAACTTATTTTAAAGTGTTATTTTTTTCTTTTGATAACTTCCAAAAATTACAAAATGTGATTATGATTAGGTCATTGAAAGTTATTATAACCTTTGTCATGAAATCAAATTTACATGAGGAAACGCAGCACATTTACTCCAGTATGGCACATTCAAAAGCAAATTAATCTACAGTACGAAGAACAGATTCAACATCTCAAATGTCAGAATATAACCTGCTTAAATTGTTCGGATTCAGTCAGATTTCCTGAATAGAAAGTATCTGTGTCTGTTCTGAACAACCGGTCTGTGTTTTGGGCTGTGGTTTATATAATCAACAAAAACTTTAGCAACATTAGCATTACTATGATCTTTCAGGGTCACAGTGTTACATTAGCTATAAATTAGGTATAAGAAAAGAATAAAATTAATTACGGTGATTATTATTATAAACAGGGAAGACCTAAATCTAGTCCAGCATGCATTGCTGTGGCCCATGGCTGAGCTGAGAGCTGCAAATACCACAGAAGCTGCAAATACCACAGAGCATGTGGAAATCCTCCAGTAAAGCACATCCTGTTTAATTAGACTAGATACACACAGTGCAAATGGAAAGCATCAGTGGTCACCGACTTGTAGAGAGTGCTGGTTCGGTGCTCAATGATGATAAACATTGGAATGCTAATTTATGCAAGTCAATGCAGAAGCCAGATAAAACAGAGAAAGTTTGAAAGTAAAACTTGCTAAATATATGCAAAGTATAATTTTAGCTATTCAAATTTCAAACAATACATGGATGAATAATTTTCATCTCAGCTGAGTATTCTATTATAGGTGGAGGAAAGCGTGAGTTTTCTCCTCTCAAGGATTACTCAGGATTTCTCTCAACGGAGTGTATGACTGACTGTATGACTCACACAGAGTCTCGAGGGCAGGTGAGCTGCCGAGGTCTTCGCTCATTATTTTAGCGTGTGTGTCTATTTGGGTGAGCCAAAAAGAGAGAGAGACAGGGCGTATGAACAGATCTGCTGCACCATCCATCAGCCCCTAATGAGACCATTACTGCTCCAGCCTGTCCCTCTGCCATTGTATGACTCACACAGAGTCTCGAGGGCAGGTGAGGTCTTCGCTCATTATTTTAGCGTGTGTGTCTATTTGGGTGAGCCAAAAAGAGAGAGAGACAGGGCGTATGAACAGATCTGCTGCACCATCCATCAGCCCCTAATGAGACCATTACTGCTCCAGCCTGTCCCTCTGCCATTCAAAAGCACGAATGCCCGTCCTCTCACACGACACCGCAGCAGGTCTGGAGTAATGGGCAGGAATGTAGACTCATCCTCTGGTGAACTCAAGGCTCTGCTGTTGTCTGCTGAGATGCACATGAGTCAAGTTGGCCAGAGCAGAAGACCTATTTAGCCCTGACTATTTTTGCTTGTTCACTCTGCAAATTGTCTCTCTCAGATTTAGAAAACGTTTCATGCTAGCATAACAAAAAGGGGGCGCTAGAGATTCAAACTATGATTTAAACTACAAACATTCACTATGATTTTGCTTAAGGTGTAAAATTAAATGGATAGTTCATCCAAAAATCAACATTGTCAACATTGGCTCCCAAAATTCAGACCTCAAAACATCTTTGATGTTCAACATAAGAAAGTAATTCATACAGGTTTTGAATGACACAAGGACAAGCAAATAATGACACAATTTTCATTTTGGGGTGAATTATCCCTTTAAGTAACATTATGAATATCACATTGATTTTAATATACACTTTAATTGGCCATTAATTTTCCTACATTCATTAGGCTAATTTAGACTCAAGAATGTGTCAGACTTATTTACATCATGTAAAAATATTTTACAATTTCTGTATGGTATGAATTAAAATGGGAACATTATTTATTCTTGCTTACAGTGACACTGTGGAAAACATACTTAAAATTTACATTTTTTTTTTTTTTTTGCTTATTGAATTAAATGTATTTAAGTATTTATTCAAAATTTGTTAAAATGATTTCTTTCACTGGAAAATCCAGAGCAAAATAAATAGTCAAAGCCTTATTTAAAAAATATATATTTATTTCCTTTTTTAATGACTTTTGTTGAACCTACAAATTAATTAGTAACTTATTTGAATGAAACTTGTTCATTTAAATGTCACCTGCAGAATTTTGAGAGATAATGTTGGGTGGCAAAATGCTACAATAAAAAAGGAGCTCAACAGAACCTCAGAAATGTTGAAAATTCAGGTCACACAGGAAAAAAAAGTTACATAAATGTGGTAAAAAGGGCACATACCTCCCCTGTCCCTGATGGCCAGATTATTGCCCTTCTTCAACACAATGTCCAGCTGATACATTCCTGGCTTTGACGGGGGAGGAAGTTCTTCATTACTTGGCTCCACAATATTGATGCCCTACAGGAGGAGAGGAAACAGTGAGGTGGTCAGACAGGCCTATGTACACACTGCACCAAGATCTCATGCACATACTTCAGGAAATCTATACCCAGTTTAATGCTTAATGTTATGAAGACTTAGAACATGAAGTGTTGGTACATCAGCTTCTCCCACCAATACAGTGCAGCTCAATATAATAGAAATAGCTCTTCTTCAAGGCTCCCTCTCTTGACTGTAAGTTACAGCAGCAGAGAGAAGAAAGGACGTTTGCATTTCACTCTGCCCTCACAGTTACATAATCATTCTGCCTCTACCATCCCAAATGCAGACCTCACAACCTTGAGATGTTCAAAAGAGCCACAATCCTCACTTTCCTTGCCTTCTGAGAAACTTCAGGCTACAGTTCTGTGAAGGCCTGGAAATGTAAATTCTCTGCTAATGTTGTTGTAATAAGACTATTTAACAGTTACTCTGCCTCTGAGCAGGTCATCAGACCTTGTCAAAGTATCAAAGAGAAACATTAAATCCCGATTAAACTGCAACAGAAGATAGAATGCTAATTTCCTAAAGATTGTAGGGCTAACCATTAGCAGCTGTTTGATTTACACTGTTTTTTCCTTATTAAACATGGAGCTAGTTTGTTACTCAACAAGAACTTCTTATTATCCAAAGCTCCTCAGTTTCCAGTATTTACCACTGAGACAGTCTGCCTCTATCCGTCTTCACTATACATACCCTGCACGATCAGAGGCATATGAAATCTGCACATTTATATTAAAACAACAATAACTCTGCAAATTTCCATTAAAGCGCTGTCACCAGTTTCTTGTAATAAGAAATATGCAGTGTACTACGGGCTGTATGCTAATAATGTTTACGTGACTCAAGGAGATGTTAGTGCACAGTAGTAAATTACTTTACTGCTTTATACCCTCATAGGACTTTGGGGACAGTTTGTGGTGACTTGGCAGTAATTCTTAAAGCATGTACACCCACACACACTTGCGCATCTAAACACCAATACACACACACACAAGCATTCAAAATATGAAACACTAAATAAAACTGCTGATTAGCTGCCGATGTAACATAATGTGCTGTTATTAAATTAAATTAAATTAAATTAATTGAAAAAATAAAATAAAATAAAATAAAATCTTGAATATTACTTTTGAAAAATGCAGTGGGGTCCAAAATCTGAAACCACAAAGAAAATTTTAATTCATTAAATGAATGAATATGTGAAAAATCCCCCCTTATGACAAAGTCATGCAGGCCATTTTCCATCCTGGTAAAGTAATTAATTAGCCAATAAGCAGCAAAAGGTTTGACTACTAAAAACTGTCCACAAACGTATCATAACACAAAGGTAATCAAATGAGGAAGAGGAGACAATGCAAAATAGAAAGGGAGAGACACAATCCTATACTACATACTGCACTCGAATCAGTGCAGAAACAAAAACATTCATCTACTCGCTGCCAAGAGGAATTTATTTCCATTTTGTTTTTTTGCTTTTTGCTTCATAAGAAAGAGTTCATCTTGAATAAAACAGCACCCTGACACTACTGTCACTCAACAAACACTGGTTATTATTCAGTCTTAAAGAATGACAAGAAGTTTGGAAAGTAATTGTGCCCTCAGGTCCTTGTTATTGTTGAGTTTGAAAATTTCATTTCAGTTTCAATTTGCTCATTATGACAGATTTCTAGCATCTAGCCATAGTTGGCTTCAGGAGCATTGGGGATATGAGACAAACAGGGGGGCATCATTAAAAGTTTGAAGTAAGGAAGGTTCAATCAAAGTTTTTGAGTCACACTCTATTATTAAGCATTAGACAATGACAGAGCCCAACACTTTTAAAAATTATTTATGTAATGTTATAAAGCAGAACATAACTGGGTGATATAGTAAATGAGTAATTTATTATCCACGATTATGACTGAATTTGTACATGAAAATGTGGACTTGCAGGTTTATGATTCACAGTCACATAATGTTATTGTGTTATTTCACTGAAACATTAAATTACATTATGGTTGGGGAATTTTTCAGAAACACCCACAATAGTGCAAAAAAATAATAATAATTAATATTTCAAAACTGAGAATTAAATCTGCATGTTTCAGGATTGTGTAATCTCTTTTTTTTTTTATCACAAACAAATATGAAATATTATGTGAATTCCCTATTTATTATGTCTCCATATAGTACAGAATTTTAAATATGCTTTATTAATTTCACATGATAACATTTTAAGTCATTTACAAAATCATAAAGATGTTTTTTTTTCCTGGTTTAAATGCAATTTTGAGTCCTAGATTATTTAGTCCTTTGGTAGATGATGTGTTCAGCAGTTGAATGTAGGCACTGGCATACATTTCAGCTTACAACATTTAGTTAACTTATTCCTAAGGTCAGTCTTCATTATTAGCTGACACACCTGTGGGTTTCTGCTGAGTGCATCATTTAATAGAGACACACTCATGAATGCAGTTTAACCTTTAGATGATACAGTTGTCCTTATAGGTCACACCAGACTGCATCTCTCTAAATGAAAAAAAAGTAATACAATTATTTATCTGCCTCAAACAACTTTCTGCCTTAAATACTTTCAAATGTGCCGCTACTGTTATACAACTATATTCTTTCCTTTTCTGAAATATATGAACATAATCCTCTTTCCTAAATGCAAACATCAGGTGACACAGCTGTGTCCATTTGCAAGAGCTAATGAGCTTCTTTTTCTTATTTTAGAGTAACCTGGCAAGACAATAATCCAAAATCAACTGAAACAATATCTATGAAATCTACATGTAGGTGTGTGTAGGCAAAGCTGTCTGAACAGGCCAGAACAAACTCTAAAACCATACTGTATCACAATTTACTGATATTTATATTCCTGGACTAGTTTGAGAGGCGGTAAATTGATTCCTCTTGGACCTATTTTTGTTATGTGCACAAAACACATTACTCATAGAGTCAATATTGTCAAGAGCAGCTACAAAATAAACATTTACTATGTAAATAAAAATAAACATTTACTAAATAAATAGTCCTTTGGTAGATGATGTGTTCAGCAGTTGAATGTAGGCACTGGCATACATTTCAGCTTACAACATTTAGTTAACTTATTCCTAGTTAACTAGGCTGTGCTAATTAGAAGGCGGCCACAGCGACCGTAGAGTATTTAAAATGCTTGGTCACTGTCATAACTTGGGTCAAGCGATTAGTCAACAGAAGAGACAAAGCGTCTGCTAAATGACTAAATGTAAATGTAAATGTAAATAGTATGACAATCCATAAAGGTAAACAAAAGCTCCTTCTCTTACCTTTCGCTTATGTCTCTCCAGGGTCAAAAAGCATTTAGAGGAACTGTTGAACTGAGCTTTGCGCAATAAGCGTCTCTTATGAATAAGTGATGACGGTGATGAAGTTTCTGCCTCTGGAGCCTTACATACAGTATAGAGCTTATAATGACCAGGATGTAGGATATTCCACTCCACAGGTACATGGTCATCATTTCACTGGACAGATGGCTCGGGTAAGAGAGAGGTCAGAAGTGTCATTACGGTATGATGGGAAAGTAATGTAGTATGTTTTTGAGAAATATACTAAGAGCTGAATGTACAACTATATCTGATGGTAATCAATTTACATTTATAATCAATAGATTCTTTGATTTCTTAGATTTATCTTTGATTCTTTCATTTATTTGCTGTATGGTATTAAAAATCCAAATCTTTGTTTGTTTGTTTGTTTATTTATTGTTTTGTTGCTATGTTTGTCCCCAAAATAATGACTATTTAAGTCAAATAGATCAATGATTATTATTATTATTATTATTATTATTACAACCAATAATAATAATAATATTATTATTATTATTATTATTATATTGTAATATTATTATTAAAATATAAACTGATCTGATATTTTAACATTATTTCTCAGGCCTAACTTATTTAAAGAAATCTGAAAAGCATTTATTCTGCATTTCAGGGAATTTATTATTATTATTATTATTATTATTATTATTATGTACCAAAAATAATGACTATTGGTAGGTCAGACAAACTATTTATTTATTTATGGGTGGGAGTTGTTTTGTCTCAAAACGAACAACCCTTTGTTGACGTAATGTGCTTGTAACTGTCATTTCTTTACTTTCCTGTTAAAAAAAATTATACAAAATCCTTAGAAATAATAAAATAATAAAACAAACAGCACTTAGATATTTTCAAGTCCTATTAGACATACTGCATCTATAAGAATGGAGTAGCCAACCAAACACATACAAAGTGAGATTAAGTCATCAACCCTGCATGCCCGATCTCTGCTGTGTATATGAGACTGCCAGCTCAGTTTACAAAATGTCATTGTAATGGTTCTCTCACAACCATGTTTCAATGGTTAACTGGTAAAAGTTTAATAACACTGATGATTGATGTGAAATATGTGAAATCATAGGAGCTTCTTCACAGAGGTATTTTCCATTGCATGGCGGTTCATCAGTGTTATCTGGACACATACGGTGAGTTGTGTATAGGTGGAGCAGCATGAAATAATAGATGTGCTCTTATTTGGCTACGGAGGACAGATTTGTTTATTTCCACACACTGCAGGTGGCAAGAGATAAATTGCATTTGCATTGTTTTGTTTTTTTTAAAGGTTAGCCGAGAGCGGCTCGGATGTAGGTCATGCTAGTGGAGGTGTAAAAAGGATTCACCCAAAATGAAAAGTCTGTCTTTTACTCACAGTTATTTTGTCCCAAACTTTGTATGATGTTATTTCCTCTATAGAACACAAAAGGAAAAGCATGGATTCAGTGAAAATGAGTGATGACCACAGCTGTCAAGCTCCAAAACAGATGTGCTATAGGCCTATTCCACAGTTTTCTGAAGCCATACGATAACTTTGTGTGAACAGACTTTAAAATAAGCGGTTAATCACTAACAATCTTCTCTTCATTCCCTAAAGCTCTCAAATCTTAACATTTGCATATTCAAATAC